TTTTAACAAGCAAGACCTTTTTTTCCCTTTTTTGGCAAAAAAAAAAAGCCTTAAAGAAATGGTAAAATGCAGTAAAACACCGCAAACCGGCGTTTTTGGACCTTTTTTTTTGCAAAAAAAGAAAAAACCTAAAAAAAAATGGTAAAACACTGCAAACTGGCATTTTTGGACCTTTTTTTGCCCTTTTTTTGGTAAAAAAAAAAAATGGTAAAACGCAGTAAAACACCTCAAGCCAGTGTTTTTGGACTTTTTTTGCCCTTTTTTTGGTAAAAAACAAAAAAACTAAAAAAAATGGTAGAACTCAGTAAAACACTGCAAACCGGTGTTTTATAGACCTTTTTTACCCCTTTTTTGGTAAAAAAAAAATTAAAAGAAATGGTTTTTTTTTAAAACGCAGTAAAAAAAACACTGCAAACTGGCATTTTTTGGACCTTTTTTGCCTTTTTTTTTTTTTTGTGATAAAAAAAAAAAAAAAAAAAAACTAAAAAAAAATGGTAAAACGCAGTAAAACACCTCAAACCGGTGTTTTTGGACTTTTTTTGCCCTTTTTTTGGTAAAATAAAAACTAAAAAAAAACTACAAACTGGCATTTTTGGACCTTTTTTTTGCCCTTATTTTGGTAAAAAAAAAACCTAAAAAAAAAATGGTAAAACGCAGTAAAACACCTCAAACCAGTGTTTTTGGACTTTTTTTGCCCTTTTTTTGGTAAAATAAAACTAAAAAAACATGGTAGAACTCAGTAAAACACTGCAAACCGCTGTTTTATGGACCTTTTTTTTGACTCCTTTTTTGGAAAAAAAAAAATTAAAAAGAAATTAAAAGAAATGGTAAAACGCAGTAAAACACTGCAAACCGGCATTTTTGGACCTTGTTTGCCCTTTTTTGGTTCAAAAAAAAAAAAAAAACTAAAAAAAAATAACATGGTAAAACGCAGTAAAACACTGCAAACTGGCGTTTTATGGACCTTTTTTTGCCCTTTTTTGGTAAAAACAAAATGAAAAAAAAAACACAAATGCGAACTAACGCTAATACAACAATGCTAAAAACCGCTGAAAAACTCACGTTTTTAACGTGACTTTACACAGCTAATTAACACTTTACACAGCGTTATTAAAATGCCCCCCCCCCCCCAGTGTGTGTACCCTAAGACAGGAAGTGTGTGTTAATGGAAGAAGCAAAAAAAAAAAAAAAGGAAGATTACTGCAGGCACCACATTGTTGGGTTTAATACCATTTTACCATACAATGTATGCAGTTTTTTGCTGAAATTCTCAGGAAACAATTGACATTTTCCATGGTTAGTCTGTGGTCCAAGTGATTTAGTGAGATCAGCCATCACCCCGGGTTCACACACTAAACATTTTCTGCAGCGTTTTGCAGAAATGCACAGCAGTCCATATAACATGATTTCCTATGGGACAGGTTCACATCTCTGTGTTTTCACCCGGTGCATTTTTTTGGAAAGGGTCAGGGACTTTTTTGAATGCAAAACGTTGCATTTTTGGTTTTATAAACTTCAATAAGAACGCTGCAGAAGATCATGTATTGCGTTTTTGCTGCATTTAAAATCTGCCTAGTAACAAGAAAAAATGATTTTAAAAAAACGTGTCAAAAACTCAAAACGCAATGCTGAAATGCATCAAACGCAACCTGCATAGGTGGGAACCTAGACTTACAAAGTGGGCACTGGGTGTACCTGCAGGGGCAGACTGACAACTCATGGGGCCCCCGGGCAAAAGGGGATCATGGGGCCCCTGTTTCCTTGCCCAAACTCAAAAAGCCTATGAAAAAGGTACCAGGGGCATCTCATGGGGCCCCCTACTGACCCCGGGCCCTCGGGCAGTGCCCTAGTTTCCAAATGGTCAGTCCGCCCCTGTGTACCTGAGTCACACAGAAGGCTGATTTAATAACCCCTTCCCACCTACTCAGCACCCCTTTAAATAGATCTGAACATCTGGAGGGCAGGCAGGATCATCAATCAATTGACCACTATCAGTGGTCACATGATCGACAGCCAGTGCGCAGTCCCATCCAGCTCTGGTCCCAGGACAGCTAAAAACCTTTCGGTGGATCAGTTCTCCCAGGTTCAATCTCTCAAATTGTGGCCACAGACAGGTAGGAGTGGCAGATCTGAACCCCACAGTCCGCAGTTGACATTCAAATTTAAAATTTTTGTTGTTCAGAGACTCGGATGTATCCGGATTTCTGAATTACAATTGTAACGAATTTAAACAAATCCAAAATACCTAAATTAAATGTTGGCCTAATTGCTGATTTCCTTTAAGGACTATGTGTATTATTATTATTATACAGGATTTATATAGCGGCAAAAGATTGCTCAGCGCTTTACAATATAACGGGAGACAATACAGCAACAATACAGTTCAATACAAGAGGGGTAGGAGGGCCCTGATCCTGGGAGCTTACAATCTAGGAGATTGGCTTCAGCCTTCTTCTGAAATTCGAATTTCGAAAAGAATAGAACAGAACAAAACAGAATAGAATAAAATAGAAAATGAAGGACTAGAATAGAAAAGAATAGAATAGAAAGAATATAGCAGTCTTCAAAAATTCAAATTTTGGGGAAAAAATAGTATAGAATAGAGTAAAAATAGAAAATAGACTAGAAAAGAAAATAAAAATATAGATTAAAAAAGAATAGAAAATAAAGGATATGAAAAGAATAGACTAGAAAATAGAACAGAAAATAAAGGAATAGAATGGAATTGAAAAAAAAAACAGAATAGAATAGAAAGAATATAGCGTCTTCAGAACATCAAATTTGTTTGGGAAAAAATAGAATAGAATAGAAAAGAATAGAGTAAAACAGAAAATAGACTAGAACAGAAAATAAAAGTATAGAATAAAAAAGAATAGAAAATAAAAGAATTGAAAAGAATAGACTAGAAAACGAAGGAACAGAATATAAAATTATAGAATAGAAAAAAACAGAATAGAAAGAATATAGCGTCTTCAGAATTTCAGATTTTGAAAAAAAAAAATAGAATAAAACAGAATAGAAAAAAATAGAGTAAAACAGAATAAAATAGAATGAAATAGAAAATAAAATAAAAGAATAGAATAAAATAAAAAACAGAAAATAATAGAATAGAAAAAAAAATACAGTAAAACAGAATAAAAAGAAAATAAAAGAAAGAATAGAATAGAAAAAAAAAACATAATGAAGGAATAGAATATAAAAAATAGAATAGAATAGAAAAAACAGAACAGAATAGATAGAATATAGCATTTTCAAAACTTCAGATTTTGAAAAAAAAATAGAATAGAAAAGAATAGAGTAAAACAGAAAATAGACTAGAACAGAAAATAAAAGTATAGAATAAAAAAGAATAGAAAATAAAGTAATTGAAAAGAATAGACTAAAAAAGAAAAAAAAAATATAGAATAGAATAGAAAAAAAAAAGAATAGAATAGAAAGAATATAGCGTCTTCAGAACTTCAAATTTTGGGGGGAAAAAATAGAATAGAATAGAAAAACAGTAGAGTAAAACAGAAAAAAAGACTAGAACAGAAAATAAAAGAATAAAAAAGAATAGAAAATAAAGGAATTGAAAAGAATAGACTAGAAAAAAAGAATAGAATAGAAAACAAAAAAACAGAATATAAAATTATAGAATAGAAAAAACAGAATAGAAAGAATATAGCGTCTTCAGACTTCAGATTTTGAAAAAAAAAAAAATAAAAATAAAAAAGAAAAAAGAGTAAAAATAGAACAAAATAGAATGGAATAGAAAATAAAAAAAATAATAGAATAAAAATAGAACAGAAAATAATAGAATAGATTTTGAAAAATAAATAGAATAGAAAAGAATAGAGTAAAACAGAAAATAGACTAGAAAAAGAAAAATAAAAGTATAGAATAAAAAAAAATAGAAAATAAAGGAATTGAAAAGAATAGACTAGAAAATAGAACAGAAAATAAAGAAATAGAATAGAATCGAAAAAACAGAATAGAATAGAAAGAATAAGCGTCTTTAGATTTTGAAAAAAAATAGAGTAGAATAAAACAGAATAGAAAAGAATAGAGTAAAGCAGAAAATAGACTATAACAGAAAAAAAAAAGTATAAAATAAAAAAAAGAATAAAAAAAAGGAATTGAAAAGAATAGACTAGAAAACAGAATAGAATAGAAAACAAAGGAACAGAATATAAAATTATAGAATAGAAAAAAACAGAATAGAAAGAATATAGCGTCTTCAGACTTCAGATTTTGAAAAAAAAATGTAATAGAATAAAACAGAATAGAGTAAAAACAGAACAAAATAGAATGGAATAGAAAATAAAATAAAATAATAGAATAAAATAGAACAGAAAATAATAGAATAGATTTTGAAAAATAAATAGAATAGAAAAGAATAGAGTAAAACAGAAAATAGACTAGAACAGAAAAATAAAAGTATAGAATAAAAAAAAGAATAGAAAATAAAGGAATTGAAAAGAATAGACTAGAAAACAGAATAGAAAGAATATAGCGTCTTCAGACTTTGAAAAAAAATACAAGTTCCATGATCCTTTGCGGCACATCATCCAGGAGGGAGTGGGGGGAGGAATGCTGTCCTCTATAGTCTCTCCCCTGTGCAGCGGCGGACTGACAACTCATGGGGCCCCGGGCAATAGGAAATCATGGGGGCCCTGTGTCCTTGCCCACACTCAAACCACACCTAAAAAAGCATATGAAAGGTACCAGGGGCATCTCATGGGGCCCCCTACTGACCCCGGGCCCTTGGGCAGTGCCGGGGTGCCCGAATGGTCAGTCCGTCCCTGTGTATCACTGCCGCTGCTGAGAGGGAGAGGGGAGGAGAGAGCAGACACATATCCTGTGTCTTCTCTGCAAGAGCAGGCATTGGCCCTCAGCATGTTCTCCAACACCCCTGCCGAGGGAAAGGAGGGGGGAGGAGCACTCCTCAGAACAGCGGCACCCGGCTACACATTGCTGCTGGATGTATCTAACACTCATTATGATTTTTGTGTTTCTCCTAGAACCCATTCAAATGGAATATCAAGAGGCGGTAAGCAAAGACACTTTTCAGCAGATAGTGACAGACCTGGAGCCTTCAACAACCTACAGCTTCTATATTAAAGCCTATACCTCAAGAGGGGCCAGCAAGGCGTCCACCACTGTGGTGCAGAGCACGCTGGGAGAAGGTATGGAATACAGATGTCTGTGTGACATCACCAAACAAATCTGAAATCACTAAATCCTAAGAGGAATACGGTAGCCATTGAAAGCCTTTATGATGGGCCTTGGGTTGGGTATCACATTGGATTCACCTGTTATCTTTGATCAATAAACATTTGAAATAGACTCTCAAGTGATACTGTATGAACGTTTATACCGGACGCTCCTCCATGCCCATCCCCGAGTTCTCTGCTCAGCGTCCTCATTGTCGCTATCAGAGAGGTAGCAGCCTGAGGCCACAACAAGGTCCACCTACATCGCACCTTTATTGGGTAGTAGCCACTTGAAGGAGGGCTTTCTCCATAGTGTATCCACCAATACCAAGCCTTGTTTTCGTTGGTCCAGTGTCGTCTACCCAACAAATACACCGGATTTATTATAAGCTTGGAATTTTTGAAGAATAAATTATCTTGGATCCACCAAAAATTAGCATCTGACAAGTAAAGCAACCTTTGGAAAGACATGGGAACCCAACTTTTTCCTTGAGTGTGGTGGGAGAAGGAGGCTTCTTAATGGGGCGATCTTGACTTCGGGGGCTGCGTGGATCGAGAACTTGGGTTAGAATTGGTGCACGGGCTGAAGGATGGCATGTTCTACCTTTCTTGGTCTTCTTGCTCTTCGTCCTTCTTCTTGGCAACTCATATCACTCGAGAGTCTGTTTGAAATGTTTATTGATCAGAGATAGCAGGTAAAGTCAATGCATTTCGGGGAAAGTGCCTCCCTCTTCCTCGGGACTGGAATAGTGAATGCAGTTGGAACAGCGTTGAGACTTGGAATGAGGCTCATTTCAAGCTGTCAGAGTGGCAGCATGGTGTCATATCAATTACATCCTGTATTCCACCCCGGAAGAAGGGGGGCATTTCCCCCGAATCACATTGGATTCACCTGTTATCTTTGATCGATAAATATTTAAAATGGATTCTCAAGTGATATGAACTGTTATACTGGGCACTCCTCCATACCTATCCAAGAGTTCTCTGCTGAGCACCTCATTGTCGCTATCAGAGAGGTAGCAGCCTGAGACCACAACAAGGTCCACCTACATCGCACCTTTATTGGGTAGTAGCCACTTGAAGGAGGGCTTTCTCCATAGTGTATCCACCAATACCAAGCCTTGTTTTCGTTGGTCCAGTGTCGCCTACCCAACAAATACACTGGATTTATTATAAGCTTGGAATTTTTGAAGAATATATTATCTTGGATCCACCAAAAATTAGCATCTGACAAGAAAAGCAATCTTTGGAAAGACATGGGAACCCAACTTTTTCCTTGAGTGTGGTGGGAGAAGGAGGCTTCCTAATGGGGCAATCTTGTCTTCGGGGGCTGCGTGGATCAAGAACTTGGGTTAGAATTGGGGCACGGGCTGAAGGATGGCACCTATCTTGGTCTTCTTGCTCTTCGTCCTTCTTCTTGGCAACTCGTATCACTCGAGAGTCTGTTTGAAGTGTTTATTGATCAGAGATAGCAGGTAAAGTCAATGCGTTTCGGGGAAGTGCCTCCCTCTTCCTCTGGGTTGGAATAGTGAATGCAGTTGGAACAGTGTTGAGACTTGGAATGAGGCTCATTTCAAGCTATCAGAGTGGCAGCATGGTATCATATCAATTACATCTCTTATTCCAGCCCGGAGGAAGGGGGGCATTTCCCCCAAATTGCATTGGATGTTTAGCTTTGTTCCTTTGTCCTTTGTATCTTTGTACCTGTTATCTTTGATAAATAAACATTTAAAATAGACTCTCAAGTGATATGACCTGTTATACTGGGCACTCCTCCATACCCATCCCAGAGTTCTCTGCTGAACATCCTTTGTCGCTATCAGAGAGGTAGCAGCCTGAGAACATAACAAGGTCCACCTACATCGCACCTTCATTGGGTAGTAGCCACTTGAAGGAGGGCTTTCTCCATAGTGTATCCACCAATACCAAGCCTTGTTTTCGTTGGTCCACTGTCGTCTACCCAACAAATACACCGGATTTATTATAAGCTTGGAATGTTTGAAGAATAAATTATGTTGGATCCACCAAAAATTAGCATCTGACAAGTAAAGCAACCTTTGGAAAGACATGGGAACCCAACTTTTTCCTTGAGTGTGGTGGGAGAAGGAGACTTCTTAATGGGGCAATCTTGACTTCGGGGGCTGCGTGGATCGAGAACTTGGGTTAGAATTGGGGCACGGGCTGAAGGATGGTATGTTCCACCTATCTTGGTCTTCTTGCTCTTCGTCCTTCTTCTTGGCAACTCTTATCACTCGAGAGTCTGAAATTTTTATTGATCAGAGATAGCAGGTAAAGTCAATGCGTTTCGAGGAAAATGCCTCCCCCTTCTTCTTGGCTGGAATAGTGAATGCAGTTGGAACAGCGTTGAGATTTGTAATGAGGCTCATTTCAAGCTGTCAGAGTGGCAGCATGGTATCATATCAATTACATCCTGTATTCCACCCCTGAGGAAGGGGGGCATTTCCCCCGAATCGCATTGGATTCACCTGTTATCTTTGATCAATAAACATTTAAAATAGACTCTCAAGTGATATGACCTGTTATACTGGGCACTCCTCCATACCTATTCAAGAGTTCTCTGCTCAGCGTCCTCATTGTCGCTATCAGAGAGGTAGCAGCCTGAGACCATAACAAGGTCCACCTACATCGCACCTTTATTGAGTAGTAGTCACTTGAAGGAGGGCTTTCTCCATAGTGTATCCACCAATACCAAGCCTTGTTTTTGTTGGTCCAGTGTCATCTACCCAACAAACACACCAGATTTATTATAAGCTTGGAATTTTTGAAGAATATATTATCTTGGATCCACCAAAAATTAGCATCTGACAAGAAAAGCGACCTTTGGAAACACATGGGAACCCAACTTTTTCCTTGAGTGTGGTGGGAGAAGGAGGCTTCTTAATGGGGCAATCTTGTCTTCAGGGGCTGCGTGGATCAAGAACTTGGGTTAGAATTGTAGCACGGGCTGAAGGATGGCACCTATCTTGGTCTTCTTGCTCTTCGCCCTTCTTCTTGGCAACTCATATCACTCGAGAGTCTGTTTGAAGTGTTTATTGATCAGAGATAGCAGGTAAAGTCAATGCGTTTCGGGGAAAGTGCCTCCCTCTTCCTCTGGGTTGGAATAGTGAATGCAGTTGGAACAGCGTTGAGACTTGGAATGAGGCTCATTTCAAGCTGGCAGCATGGTATCATATCAATTACATCCTTTATTCCAGCCCGGAGGAAGGGGGGCATTTCCCCCAAATCACATTTGATTCACCTGTTATCTTTGATCGATAAACATTTAAAATAGACTATCAAGTAATATGAACTGTTATACTGGGCACTCCTCCATACCCATCCCAGAGTTCTCTGCTCAGCGTCCTCATTGTCGCTATCAGAGAGATAGCAGCCTGAGACCATAACAAGGTCCACCTACATCGCACCTTCATTGGGTAGTAGCCACTTGAAGGAGGACTTTCTCCATAGTGTATCCACCAATACCAAGCCTTGTTTTCCTTGGTCCAGTGTCATCTACCCAACAAACACACCAGATTTATTATAAGCTTGGAATGTTTGAAGAATAAATTATGTTGGATCCACCAAAAATTAGCATCTGACAAGAAAAGCAACCTTTGGAAAGACATGAGAACCCAACTTTTTCCTCGAGTGGGGCAGGAGAAGGAGGCTCCATATTTGGGCAAACTTGCCTTCGGGGGCTGTGAGGTCGAGGACTTGGGTTAGAATTGGTGCAGGGACTGAAGGATGACATGTTCCCCCTTTCTTGGTCTTTCTTGGTCCTTCTTCTTGGCAACTCTTTTTTTTTTTCTTCTCTCCTTCTTTCTCCCGTCTTTCCGAATTCTGTTGCTTTGTCAGACCTCTTAGAGCACCACTCTGGTGATGTGATTGGCGACCGTCCGCCGTAATTATATGATTTATGGCAGGGGTCTTCAAATTTTTTAGTATGGAGACCAAACTGTTTATTTTACAAATATACATTGGGGGCATTTCATAGCACATTAGTAGTTAGACGGAGGGAAGAGATGGAAGTAGGGGGTCCCGGGAGCTGCCATAGCCTAACATACTTATCTGAAAATCTAGTCCCGGAATGAGTCCATTATATGCATTGCTATCCTGTTCATTTCCCTTCAGTGGTTTTTATTAATATCAAACGAAAAAGATCTTTTCCTTCCAGTCCACAGCTCACCTTTTCCTCCCAGTCCACAGTTCATCTTTGCCTCCCAGTCCACAGTTCACCTTTGCCTCCCAGTCCACAGTTCACCTTTTCCTCCCAGTCCACAGTTCACCTTTTCCTCCCAGTCCACAGTTCACCTTTTCCTCCCAGTCCACAGTTCACCTTTTCCTCCCAGTCCACAGTTCACCTTTTCCTCCCAGTCCACAGCTCACCTTTTGCCTCCCAGTTCACCCCCATCCAAAGATCTCACCTTTGCACCCCAGTTCCATCCACAGTCCTTACCTTGACACCTAGAAACCCCCCCAATCTACAACCTCATCTCCTCACCCAGCCCCCACCCATCCACAGTTCTCACCTTTGCACCCAGCAACTCCCTTCCCTCCTATCCACAGCTTTACCTCCTGCTGCACCCAGGACCCCGCTATCCAGAGTTCTCCTCTCCAGCTCACGTGTCCTCCTTACTGCAGCTGACACACAGCTCTATTAAAGCCAAGTTTCACCCAAAAGTGGAAGCTCTGCATTTCTGACTCCTCCCCCCTCCACTGCAACATTTGATGCCCTTTTGGGGGGGGGGGAGCGTGTACCTGGTTTTGACAGGTCTGATCCGGAAGTGCTGGGAACGCTGGTATGGGGGGGGGGGGGGGGGACTCTGGTGACTACAGACCACCTTCCACAGAGTGAATACACAAAGGTAAGGGGGGGGGGGGTTACTGATCTAAGGGGGAACCTTACTGTATTCTTCCCCCTTACATCAGTGACCCCCCCTCGGGATTGTGGCCTGTTGGCACTGTCACTGACCTCCTCTCAGGTGCACCATGCAGGGCTTAGTCAGGTGATCCTCTCTGGGCTCCGGCTTGGCAGCTCTGGTTTCATCCTATTTTCCTCTCCACATTCCACAAGTCTGACTCCTTCCTCGACCCCCGTCCTGGCGGAGCTCCGACGTTTGATTCCCCCTCCAGTCCTTGATTTCTGATTTGTAAAAGGTGCTAGGCAGCGCCATGACGTCACCGCGCCTGGCAAGCCTTCCCCCTTCAGAGCTCGGGATGGGAACACATGGACACTTTTCATTTTAAGAATGCGGATCTGACTTAATAGCTACTTGAAGACCAAGCATTTTCTGGGGCGTTATGTTTACAAGTTTTAATCTGTATTTTTTGCTAGAAAATTACTTAAAACCCCCAAACAATATATATATATATATATATATATATATATATATATTTTTTTTTTTTTTTTTTTTTTTTATTTAATTAATTTATATTTTTTTTCTTAATTATCTATTTTATTTATTTATTATTTATTTATATTTATTTATATTTATTTATTATTTGTTTATATTTATTTTATTTATTTATTATTTATTTATTATTAGCAAAGACCCTAGAAAATGAAATGGCGATAGTTGCAATTTTTTATGTATTTGCGCAGCGGTTTTCAAAAGCAGTTTTTTAAAAATACACTTTTGTGATTAAAAACAAAACACAATATATACAGTACCCCAATTTTTTTTAAAATATGAAAGAGGATGTTACAGCGGGTAAATAGATACCCAACATGTCACGCTTTAAAAAACTGCACACTCGTGGAATGGCGACAAACTACGGTACTCAAAAATCTTCATAGGCGACACTTTAAAAATTTTTACAGGTTACCTGTTTAGAGTTACAGAAGAGGTCTAGAGTGAGAATTATTGTTCTCACTGTTTGCGGTGACACCTCACATGCGTGCTGCGAACAACGTTTACATATGTGTGCACTATTTACGTCTGCGTTTACACAGAGGGATGGGGGACACATTAAAAAAAATTTCCTTATTTGTTTTTGTTTTTTTTTTATTATACTGTCTATTTATTTATTTATTTAATTCTTTTTTAATCACTTTCATTTCTATTACAAGGAATGTAAACATCCCTTGTAAGAAAAATATGCATGACAGGTCCTCTTTAAAAAGAGATCTGGGGTCAAAAAGACCTCCAAATCTCTTATTTACCCTTAAAAGGAAAAGATTAAAAAAAAAAAAAAACTTTTGCTTTAAAAAAGAAAAAAATTAGTTTACATCCGACCAGATGTGACATCATGACGGCGCTCTGCTCCTCCATCATGATAGAGAAGATCAAAGAGCAGAGAGTCTTTCACTGCCTCCATGGGATGGCAAAAGACCCCCAAATCTCTTCTTTACCCTTAAAAGGAAAAGATTAAAGAAAAAAAAAAATTTTAACTTTTGCTTTAAAAAAGAAAAAAATTAGTTTACATCCGACCGGATGTGACGTCATGACGTCAAGATCAAAGAGCATAGAGTCTTTCGTTGCCTCCATGGGATGGCAAAAGACCCCCAAATCCCTTCTTTACCCTTAAAAGGAAAAGATTAAAAAAAAAATGTAACTTTTGGTTTAAAAAAGAAAAAAAATTGGTTTACATCCGACCGGATGTGACGTCATGACAGTGCTCTGCTCCTCCATCAGGATAGAGGCGATCAAAGAGCACAGAGTCTTTCATCGCCTCCATGGGATGGCAAAAGACCCCCAAATCTCTTCTTTACCCTTAAAAGGAAAAGATTAAAAAAAAAAAGAATTTAACTTTTGGTTTAAAAAAGAAAAAATATTGGTTTACATCTGACCGGATGTGACGTCATGACGTCGCTCTGCTCCTCCATCATGCTAGAGGCGATCAAAGAGCATAGAGTCTTTCATCGCCACCATCTTCAGCCGGCTGGACCGTCGGATTGTTTCTCGGTCCCGCCGGTAAACAGCCCCTGGGTGGGGAAGGGGGTTTGGGGAGAAACGTGAACGCGATCTAGTGGCTGAAGAGCCGCTAGGTCCACCTTCAATAGAAAGCCGGCCATCAGCTGATTTCTTCAGCCATAACCCAGGTAAACCACTTGAAAACCACAACGTTTGTATACATATTGTGGTCTTCAAGTGGATATTGACCACCATTTTTCCCCCCCGATGATTATTTGTGGGAAATCGAAACGCGTTGGGGGCTATTTTACAAAAATCGAGTCTAGATGTAACCGTCTAAGGGTGGTCTTTGTGTAACGCAGCTGATTGGTTTTTACCTCTTCCTTTGTATTGCTTTTAGATCAATGTCGAATAAAGTGTTTTTTATGTGTTTTATTATATTGGTATGTGCTAAGTGCCAACCAGAAGTATCTAGGCATGAACCTGACACGGACCGGACTGTCCCTGCGTAGTGTAAGTATCTAGGCATGAACCTGACACAGACCGGACTGTCCCTGCGTAGTGTAAGTATCTAAGCATGAACCTGACACGGACCGGACTGTCCCTGCGTAGTGTAAGTATCTAAGCATGAACCTGACACAGACCGGACTGTCCCTGCGTAGTGTAAGTATCTAAGCATGAACCTGACACGGACCGGACTGTCCCTGCGTAGTGTAAGTATCTAGGCATGAACCTGACACGGATCGGACTGTCCCTGCGTAGTGTAAGTATCTAAGCGTGAACCTGACACGGACCGGACTGTCCCTGCGTAGTGTAAGTATCTAAGCATGAACCTGACACGGACCGGACTGTCCCTGCGTAGTGTAAGTATCTAAGCATGAACCTGACACGGATCGGACTGTCCCTGCGTAGTGTAAGTATCTAGGCGTGAACCTGACACGGACCGGACTGTCCCTGCGTAGTGTAAGTATCTAAGCATGAACCTGACACGGATCGGACTGTCCCTGCGTAGTGTAAGTATCTAAGCATGAACCTGACACGGACCGGACTGTCCCTGCGTAGTGTAAGTATCTAGGCGTGAACCTGACACGGACCGGACTGTCCCTGCGTAGTGTAAGTATCTAGGCGTGAACCTGACACGGACCGGACTGTCCCTGCGTAGTGTAAGTATCTAGGCGTTAACCTGACACGGACCGGACTGTCCCTGCGTAGTGTAAGTATCTAGGCGTGAACCTGACACGGACCGGACTGTCCCTGCGTAGTGTAAGTATCTAAGCATGAACCTGACACGGACCGGACTGTCCCTGCGTAGTGTAAGTATCTAAGCGTGAACCTGACACGGACCGGACTGTCCCTGCGTAGTGTAAGTATCTAAGCATGAACCTGACACGGATCGGACTGTCCCTGCGTAGTGTAAGTATCTAAGCGTGAACCTGACACGGACCGGACTGTCCCTGCGTAGTGTAAGTATCTAGGCGTGAACCTGACACGGACCGGACTGTCCCTGCGTAGTGTAAGTATCTAGGCGTGAACCTGACACGGACCGGACTGTCCCTGCGTAGTGTAAGTATCTAGGCGTGAACCTGATACGGACCGGACTGTCCCTGCGTAGTGTAAGTATCTAGGCGTGAACCTGACACGGATCGGACTGTCCCTGCGTAGTGTAAGTATCTAGGCGTGAACCTGATACGGACCGGACTGTCCCTGCGTAGTGTAAGTATCTAAGCATGAACCTGACACGGATCGGACTGTCCCTGCGTAGTGTAAGTATCTAGGCGTGAACCTGACACGGACCGGACTGTCCCTGCGTAGTGTAAGTATCTAGGCGTGAACCTGATACGGACCGGACTGTCCCTGCGTAGTGTAAGTATCTAAGCATGAACCTGACACGGACCGGACTGTCCCTGCGTAGTGTAAGTATCTAGGCGTGAACCTGATACGGACCGGACTGTCCCTGCGTAGTGTGTCGATGCTCTAGAAATACTGGGGAAAAAACATATGAAAGTTCCTTCAGCCGAGCCCTGTTGTAGACACTGTCCCCCGGGTTCCCACATGTCCACGGGATGGCAAAATCTGGCAAGCAGAACAAGCAGACATCTATTCTAGATTGGAGGATTGTAGTACAATGTCTGCACAATGCCGCATTGTTTACCGTTGCGTCCGTTCTCTTTGCAGTGCCCGCTGTGCCATCACTCTACATCAAGGTTCTGAATAGCACGGCCATCCAGGCAGCCTGGGAGCCATCCATCAAACTGGGTCAGAACGAGGGCTTCAAACTCTACTACCGCAAGGTGCCAACGCCAAACTACACGGGGCCCATGCTTCTGCCTAGCAACGTCACGGCGTATAACATCTGTAGGCTGGGTAAGCACCGCAATGTGTCCTACATGCTCAGTCATGCTCGATGATGTTCTCTCCGGTCCCAGCGCTCCCATATAGATCTCATGGTTTGTACAGGCAGTGCAGAGCGGAGTCGTGTACAGCACCTCCGTGTCCCATCAGTCCAATCAGGCAGACGATCAGCTTTGATTAATCCGCCAGCAATAATGTCATCTGCGGGTGTATGGTGGTCATGGGAAAACCGCATGATTGATCAAAACTGGTGTCTATTGACGTACGGGGTCATTTTATTGTCCTCCCGTGATCCAGACATTTTTTCTTTTTTTTTTTTTTATTGCTTGTGTGCTGAATGTCTTTTTTTTTCTGTGATCCAGACATTTTTTTTTTTTGCTTGTGTGCTGAATGTCTTTTTTTTTTCTTTTCTTTTCTTTTCGTTTTTTTTTTTTTCCGTGATCCAGACATTTTTTCTTTTTTTTTTTTTTTATTGCTTGTGTGCTGAATGTCTTTTTTTTTCTGTGATCCAGACATTTTTTTTTTTTGCTTGTGTGCTGAATGTCTTTTTTTTTTCTTTTCGTTTTTTTTTTTTTTTCCGTGATCCAGACATTTTTTTTTTGCTTGTGTGCTGAATGTCCTTTTCTTTCCCTTTGTTTTTCTTTTTTTTTTTTTTTTTTTCCGTGATCCAGATATTTTTTTTTGCTTGTGTGCTGAATGTCTTTTTTTTCCGTGATCCAGACATTTTTTTTTTTTTGCTTGTGTGCTGAATGTCTTTTTTTTTTTTTTTTTTTTTCTTTCCGTGATCCAGATATTTTTTTTTGCTTGTGTGCTGAATGTCTTTTTTTTTTTCCGTGATCCAGACATTTTTTTTTTTTGCTTGTGTGCTGAATGAATTTTTTTTTTTTTTTTTTTTTCCCGTGATCCAGATATTTTTTTTTGCCTGTGTGCTGAATGTCCTTTTTTTTTTCCTTTGTTTTTTTTTTTGTCCCGTGATCCAGACATTTATTTATTTATTTTTTGCTCATGTGCTGAATATCCTTTTCTTTCTTCTTTTTTTTTCCAGTGTTCAACACATTTTTTTTTTTTTTTTTGCTTGTGTGCTGAATGTCCTTTTTTGTTTTGTTTTTTTCTTTTTTTGTGTGATCCAGGCATTTTTTTTTTTTCTTGATCTTGAGTGCTGAATGTCCTTTTTTTTTTTTTTTTTTTTTTTTTTTTTTTGTTATCCAGACATATTTTTTTTTTTTTTGCTTGTGCTTGTGCGCTGAATGTCCTTTTTCTTTTTTTTTTTTTTTTTTTTCCGTGATTCAGACTTTTTTTTTTTTGCTTGTGTGCTGAATGTCTTTTTTTTTCCGTGATCCAGACATTTTTTTTTTTTGCTTGTGTGCTGAATGTCTTTTTTTTTTTTTTTTTTTTTTTTTTCTTCCCGTGATCCAGATATTTTTTTTTTTGCTTGTGTGCTGAATGTCTTTTTTTTTTTTCCATGATCCAGACATTTTTTTTTTTTTGCTTGTGTGCTGAATGTCTTTTTTTTTTTTTTTTTTTTCCGTGATCCAGATATTTTTTTTTGCTCGTGTGCTGAATGTCCTTTTTTTTCCTTTGTTTTTTTTTTTGTGCCGTGATCCAGACATTTATTTATTTATTTTTTGCTCGTGTGCTGAATATCCTTTTTTTTCTTTTTTTTTTTTTCCAGTGTTCAACACATTTTTTTTTTTTTGCTTGTGTGCTGAATGTCCTTTTTTGTTTTGTTTTTTCTTTTCTTGTGATCCAGGCATTTTTTTTTTATCTTGAGTGCTGAATGTCCTTTTTTTTTTTTTTTTTTTTTTTTTTTTTGTTATCCAGACATATTTTTTTTTTTTTTTGCTTGTGCGCTGAATGTCCTTTTTTTTTTTTTTCTTTTTTTCCGTGATTCAGACTTTTTTTTCTTGCTTGAGTGCTGAATGTCCTTTTTTTTTTTTTCTTCTTTTTTTTTTCCAGAGATCCAGACGTTTTTTTTTTTTGCTTGAGTGCTGAATGTCCTTTTTTTTTTCTTTTTTTTTCCCATGATCCCGACTTTTTTTTTATTTTGCTCGTGTGCTGAATGTCCTTTTTTTTTTTCTTCTTTTTTTTTTCAGAGATCAAGACATTTTTTTTGCTTGTGTGCTGAATGTCCTTTTTGTGTTTTTTTTGTTTTTGTTTTCTTGTGCTCCAGACATTTATTTTTGCTTGAGTGCTGAATGTCCTTTTTTTTTTTTTTTTTCCTGTGATTGACATTTTTTTTTTGCTTGTTTGCTGAATGTCCTTTTTTCTTTTTTTTTTTTTTTTTTTGTGATCCAGGCATTTTTTTTTATCTTGAGTGCTGAATGTCCTTCTTTTTTTCTTTTTTTTTTTTGTGATCCAGGCATTTGTTTTTGCTCGTGTGCTGAATGTCCTTTTTGTGTTTTTTTTTTTTTTTTGTTTTTGTTTTCTTGTGCTCCAGACATTTATTTTTTGCTTGAGTGCTGAATATCCTTTTTTTTTTTTTCCCTGTGATCGACATTTTTTTTTTTTTTTTTTTGCTTGTGTGCTGAATGTCCTTTTTTTTTTTTTCTTTTTTTTTTCAATGATCCAGACATTTTTGTTTTTCTTGTGTGCTGAATGGCATTTTTTTTCTTTTTTTTCTTCAGTGATCCAGATATATTTTTTTTTACCTGTGTGCTGAATGTCCTTTTTTTTGTTTTTTTTTTGTTCCCGTGATCCAGACATTTTTTTGTTTTTTTTTTACTGGTGTGCTGAATGTCCTTAGATTCTTCTTTATTTGAGGAAGGCAGACATAAACCTGATATTATCTGTTTACAACCTTCAGCGGCTGCCGTTCGTTCTCCTAATTTTGCTAAAATGACATTGACATTTACAGCGGTAACGTCAGCTGAAATGCCACGGCGGCAAAATGACTGCGTGATTTTTATCTGGCTGTGTGACACGGAGGCATTTAATGCGGTCGTTTATCATGGCGCCGTGCTCTCCCTACAAGTACAGTGTGTATAGGCAGGGCAAAGGCAACACCAGGAATGGGAAAGATAAAAGTCACATTCATAAAACTTCACAAACCCGAGTTGAAGGACGCGAGATTAGGAGCGTCGGGGCTGAAGGATTCTGTGAGCCGCCATCCAATCCTGGATTGGCTCAGTGAGTACACTTATGCCGGACATAGACAGGTCGAAAATCAGCCGATTTTTTGGCCGAAAAAAAAAAATCGGCCGATTTTCGCAGCGTTAGTGGGTTAATTGGTCGGCCCATTTTTGGGGCTTTTTTGCACATTTTTTTATAGGGCATGTTGGAAAATTTGCGGCCGAATCGTTTTTACCAATAAAAAAATCTGCGCATGAGTGAGTCTTCTTTCTTCTTCTTCTTCTTCTTCTTCTTCTTCTTCTTCTCTTCTTCTTCTTTTCCTGCTTCTTTTTTTTCTTCTTCTTCTTCTTCTTCTTCTTCTTCTTCTTCTTCTTTCTTCCTTCTTCTTTCTTCTTCTTTCTTTCTTTTTTTCTTCTTCTTTCTTCTTCTTCTTTCTTTCTTCTTGCTTCTCCTTCCTTCTTGCTTTCTTTCTTCTTCTTCTTTCTTCTTCTCTTCTTCTTTTCTTCTTTCTTCTCCTTCTTCTTCTTCTTTTTCTTCTTCTTTTTTTCTTCTTTCTTCTTCTTCTTTCTTCTTCTTCTACTTCTTCTTTCTTCTCTTCTCTTCTTCTTCTTTCTTCTTCTTCTACCTCTTCTTTCTTCTCCTTCTTCTTCTTCTTTCTTCTTCTTCTTTATTCTCCTTCTTTCTTTCTTTCTTTCTTTTCTTCTCTTCTTTCTTCTTCTTTCTTCTCTTCTTCTTTCTTTCTTTTTCTTTCTTTCTTTCTTCTCTTCTCCTTCTTCTTCTTTCTTCTTTCTTCTTCTTCTTTCTTCTTCTTCTTTCTTTCTTCTCCTTTCTTCTTCTTCTTTCTTTCTCCTTCCTTCTTTCTTTTCTTCTTTTCTTTCTTTCTTCTCTTCTTTCTTCTTCTTCTTCTTCTTCTTCTTTCTTCTTCTTCTTTTCTTCTTCTTCTTCCTTCCTTCCTTCCTTCCTTCTTTCTTCTCCTTCTTTCTTTCTTCTTCTTCTTTCTTCTCCTTCTTCTTCTTTCTTCTCCTTCTTCTTCTTTCTTCTCCTTCTTTCTTCTCTTCTTCTGCTTCTTCTTTCTTTCTCCTTCTTCCTTCTTTCTTCTTCTTCCTTCTTTCTTCTCTTCTTCTTCTTTCTTCTTCTTCTTCTTCCTCTCCTCCTTCCTCTCTCCTTCTTCTTCTCTTCCTCCTTCTCTCCCCTGTCCCTGCAAGGGACAGAAGTAATTATGGGGTTAAATACCGGCCATAGACCGGGGCGAAAACCGGCCAATTTTGTTTTTTACTGTTGGTAACGTCAGCCGATCGACCGATTTTTTTTCATTTTTTTTTTAAAAAACGTCCGATTTTTGACCCGTCTATGGCCTGCATTAGGGGGGTAGAAAAGAACAAAACAGGGCGCACTCCCCTCGTGCATTACCGTGATAATATGGAATTTATTATAAAAATACAACTACATACTCACAAGCCAAAAAAGTCATAAAAACAGAGACAAGGAGTCAAAGGATGCCAGTCGTGGACAGCGGAGGTCCTCGGGTAACGTGTTTCGGGAGTCGAACGCCCTTCCTCAGAGCGATAGATGAAAACACAATGCATAAGAAAGATTCTTCTATACAAGAATAAATGGCCACTCCCCCCTCTGTGTAGAAAGGGGGCGGGATCCTGCAAGTAACGCCTGAAAAAGGGGGAGAGGTCCCCAAACATTTAGTGAGAGACTTTGACTATAGTGTGGCAATCAATAAATAATCAATAAACTTCAAAATAGCAATAGCAATGGTAATGGCAGAAACATGGCAATAAAAAGTGCTTACCAGATGGACTGATCTAGAACGCATGGGAACAGTGGTGTCCCGAGGCAGGTGCGGGGGGGGGGGGGGGGGGGGTGACACCTACCGCACGGGGTGACACCGGACCCGCTCCACGAAAAGGTAAGTTGTAAAGAAAGCCAACAAT